ATAAAGCAGGGGGTCCGCCATCGATTCCGGTGGATGGGGTTTGGGAGAGTGACATGTTTAAACGTTTCATCCTGTGCAAAACGATTCTCGCAAAATCAAAACGTTCCTCCATTATTTCGCGCTCGTGAATAGCAGCCGGCGAAAAACATGTCGGTCGCGGTTACACTCGCGCGGTCGCCTCATGTTTTTTAGCCGATGAACAAGAGGGACGATACAAATATTTAAATAGGGGAATCAACGTCCACCAACGGGAATACCAATTTCAAATTTCCATTTCGATATTTTTTTCTGGCCCCTGCCGTCGCCGCCGCTATTCACCGTTGGAATTTCCCTGATTTTTCCGTGTTTTCTTTGACAATTTTTCGTCTGTTTACGTATGTCCGTCCAATCAGGGGTTAGAGGGTGGGGTTGGAGAAGAACGGGAAAGGGTTGAAGACACGAAGATAACCTGATTCGGTAATATACGGATTAAAATATTGTGGGATGAATGGTTTGTTGTGCGTGCGTGCGTAAGAGCGACCAGGTCGTATTGTGACGGACCGGCGTCGGGATGTTTGGAAAATAGTGTGACTGCGTTTAGAAAATCTCGAGTGGCTGAAAGAATACGAGGAAGAGTGTCTGGAACCGAGCGACTGGGCCGTGAGAAAAGCGTGTACGTGACTGTGTGAATTTTAATCATGGACGAAAGATGCGAGTGAGAAGGGTGCAAGGGTGAGAAAGACAGAGCGAATGGAGGTCTGCGTTAAAAATGAGTGGGAATGCGTGGCTGAGTGATAGTGGAGAGAGACATTTTTTCGCGTGTTATTCGAGCGAGACTTTTGAGCGAGACGTTAGTGCGAGACTTTTTGGGTGAAACTTTGCGTAATCGGCGAGCGAGCGTGTAGTATTCTGTAAAGATCTGGCGACTTGTAAGGGAATATCCTACACCATTGAGGACTTGTACGGGATAATTCCTATAATATAAACTAATGAAAATCTCAATAAATACACTTTTATAATGTGTCCAATAGAATAAGAGGAAATCAATTTGACTACTCGGTAGTTATACCATTAAATGGCAGTCGAAGTTCAGTGGGCAGTGAGAACGTACGCGTGTCTGTTCACGAGTACGGCTTTAATAACGCGTTAATGAAACACTTGTCGATCCTTTATCTCAAAACAATTTTATCGGCTGCGATTTCATGGTAATTGCGACTGTGTCGGCTTACCGATTAAAATCGCTGCGGATGCCGAAAAGGGGGAGATGAATGATATGCTGAATACGATGATGCCAGTCATCGGTTAGCTTCCGTAACGTTTTCAGAGGGATATTGAACCGTGTAGTGTTTAATAGGACGGAGTTATTTTGAAATAAACTTCGGCATAGTAACGCTAGTTTTCACGAAGAATGCCATAACTATTTTCGTGAAAAACATTATGGTCCATTTACATACATACTTATTAACCTTTTCGCTAAAATGGATGAGACATCTCGGTTCCACGATGTCAAAGAAACGATGTTATAGACGAGATATCTCGTTATCATAATGCCGTACGTATGATGCTAGGGACAAGATATCTTATCACCATGATAGTATCGTATGTACGACATCAATGATGACGAGATATTTCGTCTATAGCATTATTTCTACGACATCGTGAAACCGAGATATCTCGTCCTTTGTAGCGAAGTGGTGAAATAATAACAATGAATTATTCATTGTTGATACTATCGCAATATAATCGCCGTTTGCAGATATTGTGTTGATTACATGTATATTTATTTCTGTTTTCCGAGGTATAATAAATACATTTTATTATTACTATTGTCATTGTTGTTTGTTGCATGAACGGTACAGGTTTCCGGAGAGAAACGGCGAATATTATTTAGGGATTACGCGTCCCCGTTTCGGAGAGAAATATCGGGTTCGGCAAAATAAATAATAAATTATTCATTCATCCGCCTAATTGGATTTCTGTATATCCGCGCGCGTGAGGCAATTTCTCGCTGAGAGGCGGAACCCGGCAAAATATTTTGCTACCGGCACCGCACGGTACGGCGGGCTAGCGGGCGCAATAACGTCTTGCCACGGAAAGGGCACGAGACATTTCAGATTATGGCACGTAAGCCGTCCGCCTGCAATTCCCTATAAATAAATACATCCCCGCAAATAATAAACGGTGGAAATTCTCCGTGAGCCGCGATGCGGTTTGCGGCACGCTTTAACGCCGCCGAGGTGTGAACGCGGTCGCCGATATACGGAGTCGGGTGATGCACGTTCCAGTATACCGGGTGGACTGTTCCGTACGGATTTCTGAACAGCTATATTGCATAAGAGATTTTATGACGTATGTTATGAAACGTGAAATAGCTTTATGGCTATATTTGGGGAGACAGAATTGTTTCATACGAGAAGATTGCTGACTAATCATTTCTGAATGCCATTGAAATGATTTTATAAAATAATTTTCATCAGAGTTTTTTTGATGACTCATTAATTTTATTATTACGAATTAAGGAAATTTCTTTGTTTCGAATTAAAAATATTTTTCGAACGTTGGTTTCCAAAATTATTTTTGTACAAATGATGTGTAGTTGCTGAAAAGTTATTCAAGCGTTTGAGAACATGGAAAATAGTGGTTGAAAAAGTCACTGATAAGCAACGACGAGGGAGAATTTTGTATTTGAAGTTTTGAAATTTGTTGACAGTCAATTTTAGGATTTGTTTGGATCTTTTCATTCATATTAATTACCTGCTTTCATTACTTCTGTTTAGATTTTATAAATCTGCGACAGTGAAGTTAACTGGTTGTTGTGAAAAGTCATCAAACGGAAGATGAAATTTTGTTGATTAATTTTCGGTAACCTGCTGTACGCTTAACAAATTATTTATTCATTCTCATTTAGATGATGTTTACGAAATGCGCTGATCCTGTGCTATAATCATTGCTTTATGTTTTTTCCACCCGTAAGAAGCATTTTATTAACATTTTAAGTAGCACTTAATTACGTGCATTTAGCAAGTTCTTCCGCAGGAACTACCCTCCTCGCGGGGAACATAATTATTGCCTCGCCATCTAACTTGTTCCATAAAAGTTTGATAGAATTAAGGCAGTCCAGATTTTGGATAAGAGTGATTATAATAATGAAAGTGTTAATTATTGTGATGTAGTGAAATTTTATGCTAACAATAACATGGCCGTTCATACTTATCTTTCGAACGTCGAGTAATGTGTGAAATCTCTGGCGTTCGAATAATTACGAGGTGCA